GAAAAATGTGAAGTGTTATTGAAAATGAGACTCCTATCATTAGATTGTTTGCCTGAACGTGGCTGGCATTAAGTTATCGAACATTTCCTTCCAAGAATCGATATTACTTCGCCATAACAGTTGATGTCCCATATAAGCATAGTGTATTAGAAAAAGTGCTCGATCATTATTCAACACTTTAAATGTGGTGTTATCCTTTTGACTTACGAAGTTCTATATACAACGCTATGCATTCCATCAAAACGTTCTCAATTTTCCTACAATAATTTGAAGAGCCATTTAAAATAAAATTCATCGATTTTCCGGCCTTACGAAAATCTATAATTTAAAACCACACGGAAGGAATTGCAATGCCCCGCGCCTTAAGAAGACTTAGGCTGTCAGGAGAAGAAATTCTTAGGAGATCACTAGAATTCATCCAGGAACCGTTCATGCGCGGGTAAGCTGCGGTAGTGATGCGTTGCTGACAAAGCTCAGCAGACCTGACTTGAACCTCAAAATGAAGGTGCTTTTGTTATAAAAGGTACAGTTTTTATCTATAATTTCTCCCTGCTACAAATGTCGCAAGTTCACGTTGACACTATCAATATTTTATTTAAATGTTAAATAATTGAGGAGGTTGAACGTTATTATTCGTGATAAAAACTACTGAGGACTTTAATAACTTAAATTTCTTTTCTTTTTTTTTTTTTGCTTTGATAGTTAGATTTTTCTTAAACATTCAGGATCAGGAAAAGCTTGACTGAAAGTAAAATTTTACAACACCAGCACAATTTGCCCCAGCAGATCCGGGAACACAGACACATCGATACCCTTTAGTGATAAAACCTACTTGACAAATTCCCTCATTCAAACAAGGGTTGTTAGCACAGGGATTCTGTGGAAAAAAAGGAAAGCACTGAAGTGACTGGAAAAGGAGTCAAACTTCTAAATGATTGGAAGCAAAAATACTGTGAGGCGCACGAGGAGTTGATAAGGCGAACTTGACGAGTCCTTTTTAATTTTTATGACAATGAGACATAACAATTTTCACAGAAAAATACCTGTGCTACAAGGACTTCTATGCAAATCTTGTAAAAACCGTTTTTTGTCTCATTGCTCTGCAGACGTAGCTACTTGGCCAAGAAAATTTATCCCCGAAGCTACTGTGAGATACCGACTGCAAATGCTTATACGCCGATCAATCCGAAGCTTCACCATTCCCCCCCTCCACCCTCCCTTTGCTGGGAAATTTGAACCTTGCGCAAGTGTAAT